AAAAATAGTAACTAGATTTACATGTATCAACATGGATATATAAAATATTAAGTAAAAAAGGCAAGTTGCAGAATGATATATGAAGTATACCATTTTTGTAATTTAAAACAACACAAATGCTATATTCTGTTTAGGAATTCATATATAACTAACAAAGTAAAAACAAGTAGGATAGGGTGATCTGGGATGGAGAAACAGGTATAAGATTAGGGAGGAGTTACAAAGGCCACTTTAAATATATGTGTAATTTTTTTCCTTTAAATCAAGCGAATGTGACAAAATGTTAACTTTTAAAGTTTGTGGACCATATACATGAAATTTGGTTACATTCCTCTTTGTCATTCTATGAGATATTTCATAATAAAAAGGTAAGTAGAGGAGATCATAATAAAAGTAAAGATCATTGAGTGAAGATAAAACAATTGATTTAATTATTAAAGCTAAAGCTGTTCTTTTGAAAGATGAATGGTAACACAAATTATATAATCCATGTTAGGGAACAAGAGAGGAAGAAAATGAATTTTAAAAAATGCAATTACTTTTCTAAAGAAATCTCAACTATTTTTTTCTTTATGCAAAAAATAAACCTGGGGTGCAAAATGGTTAATTGAAGACCTTAAAATTGATCACCCTGCAATAGAAGATTCAAGAAGCTAGCTTTTTAGCGTAACCATAAAAGATGAATGTGAGAAGAGAATTAGTTCTTTTATCCAGGCCTACAGTTCAGGAAAGAGACTAATTCAATAAGACTAATAAAAATGTTCTTTCTGGAGATATACATAAGCCCTTAGGAGCCAATAGAGCTTGGTAATTAAGTTGATATTGATTTGGAGGAGAGAGATTAAACAACAAGAACAACAGACATAAAAATTTTGTACCACTGTGTTGAGAGAAAAGAGAAGATTAAGCGAACTAAGTACATTAGGAAGATGAATTATAAACTTGAGATTAGACATGTTGAAATTGAATAGATGGATCTAATAGAAAGATCATGGAAGTCATGGATAGAAACAGATCTGGGATGAAGCTGAAAGAGTGCATATATTTATTAAAGGAAAGGTTACAATTTCAAGTAAAAAGTGCCAAGGGACATAAATTAATTAGGGATTTTTAGAAGCAAAGAAGTCAAGGGAGAAAATAGTAAATTGTATCATTGAGTTCCTAGCAATGGGTCTCCACAGTGTCAGATGCTACACAGAGGTTAATAAAATGAAAGAAAGCTACTGAAGATGTTGAGTCAAGATGTCAGAAGTCATTGGCAAGCTTTTAGAGCTTAGTTTCATTGGGCTGGATGCAAGGGTAAGGAAAACTGTCAACTAGTCATTAGATGTAAAAATTGAGGTGTTCACTGTGAACCAAGTATGTGGTTGTCATGAATTAAATTGTATCGCTCAAGAAGATATGTTGAAGTCCCAGCCCGGGGTACCTCTGAATGTGACCTTATTTGGAAATAGTCTTTATAGATTACTATGTAAGTTAAGTAAGGTCCTACTGGAGTATGGTGGGCCCTTAAACCAGTATGACTGGTATCCTTGTAAGAAGAGGGGAAGAAATATACATGTGCAAGGGGACGCCACGTGATGACGGAGGCAGAGAAGGAGTTACACAGCAGCAAGTCGAAGAAGGTGAAGGATTGCTGGCAACCACCGGAAGCTAGGAGAGAGCGCGGCCCTGCCAACACCTTGGTTTCCGACTTCTAGCCTAAAGCCTTTGTGACCGTGAGGGAATAAATTTCTGTTGTTTTAATGCACTCAGTTTGCGCAACCGTGGAATGACAGCTTTGAGAAACTGATACCGTAATAATTTGGTCAGTGAACATCAGAAGATGAGCTAGTTTATAAGTTAGCTTAAGACAAGTGTGTGAGGGGGGGGGGAGAGGGAGAGTCAGTGACAAATTTATCCCCCAATTTAATTAATTACTAGGCATGTCTGAAAAGGGGGAAGAGAGGAGATAGTCTAGTAGAAGTGAACAATCAAATAAAGAGGGAGCCAGATTTTAGAGTAGGTTATGAGACTGGATTGAGAGACTACAGTGCAGTTGAGATTGGAAAGGATTGGTCCAGTTTTCTCTGGGAAGTTAGCATGAACTAGAAATGTGTGGAGGGAAGTCTCTGCCAAGTGGACTCTGATTTTTCAGTAAAACAGTAAATTTCTCTGCTGAAGGCAGAGTGCAGAAGAAAGGTTAAGGAAGAACAGGAAGAATTAAAAGAGATCTATAAAAAGTGTGATGAGAGCTGGGTGGACGTTATATTGCGTGGGCACCCATAAATCCAAGTTTAGAGGACTTAAGCATTGTGACCCTGCAGGAGAACTGCACAATTATCAGTGTACAGAGGCTTGGAACAGAGAAGGTCCAACCCCTGTTGTAAATGTGAGACAGAGGCTTAGATTTCATGTCACCTGTCCAAGGCATACAGCCAAATAGTGACAGGTTTGAAATGGAGGTCTCAGACTCCTCCCCCTGTAACTGCTTCATGTACCATATTGGAGATTAAAATCCCTGAAACTATGGAAATAAATTATCCTTTAAATTTGGTTACTAAGGAAGTGTATGTGTGTATTATAGTAGGATTTTTGTTTGTTTGTTTTTTTCCACCCATTAAAATAAACATTATCATTAGTGTCTGGGATTGGAACCAGGTTGAATATTTGGTGTTTTCCAGTTCCCTCTAGTAATGACTGGCAGAGCACGAAGAGAAATGTGACTAACAGCAAAGGAGGGAGTGCAGTTCAAGTCAAAGGAAGTGTTTATTTCCACAGTCTTAGTGGAAACTGGAATCATTTGAGTAGTCTCAGAATGCTTTACCCTTTCTTTTACTTTCATGAATGGTTATTGACTTGTGTATTCATCCCAAGAAATGTTATTACAGTATTACAGTAAAAATCATGTAATGAGATTTTCAGAGTTGATAAATGGGTTATTTGCAATTCTGAGAATGTCCAGTGTACCCATAGCTGGAAAAAACAGCAACACAGTCATTAAAAGTTCTGCCCATCTAGTCTGAACTATTTAAGTGGGTATTGGATGCCATTGTTTTGATTCACATAATTTTCATAGTGGTGGTGAATAGTGAGAGGGCTCGGAGTCCAGACCCTTCTGGACTCACACATTGGCTCTGTCTTTATTTGAGCATCTGCAAATCACAAACTTCACCTTTAATGCTCACTTTTCAAATCTGTAAAATGGTTGTAAATACCGTACCAACAAACGTCATAGGTTTACTTTGAGTATTAAATGAGCTAGTTCACTTGAAACCTTTAGCGTACTTTCTAGTTCATATGAGTCAGTGAGTACAAAGAGCAGTTAAGTCTTAGATGAAGCACATAATTATTCTGATTTCCGAGATGATTGCTTCAACTTCCATTCGACTTCCTTTCTTTTTATTTATTTGTTTTATTTATTTATTTTTAAACCTTGGTTTTCTTTTTTTTTAATTGGGGAATTAGGGAAGGAAAATGGTGTTGGGGACTTGGGGAAGGGGAACAGCCAAGTTGTTGTCTTTCACTCTTAGTTGTGGAGGGCACAGGTAGTTCAGCTCCAAGTCCAGTTGCCATCGGCTGCCCGTCGGCAGCTCGTGGCCGCTCAGCTCAAGGTGCTGTGTTCAATCTTAGTTGCGGGGGACCACAGCCTACCATCCCATGCAGGAGTTGAACCGGAAACCTTGTTGTTAAGAGCACACACTTTAACCACTGAGCAATCCAGCCACCTGTTGGCAGCTCAGGGCAGCTCAGCTTAAGAAGATGCCGTGTTCTACTTAGTTGTGGGGGGGGGGTGCAGCCCACCATCTCATGCGGGAGTCGAACTGGCAACCTTGTTGTTAGGAGCACATAGTCTCACCAGCTGAGGCACCCTGCCACCTGTTGACAGCTCAGCGGCAGTTCAGCTCAGGCGCAGCTAACTGGCCCACGTGGGAATCGAACCCGCGATGCTGTTGCTCAGAGCGTGCTCTTAACCAACTGAACCACTTAGCCGGCCCAACTTCCTTTCTTTTTAATTGGCTGTATTTTGGCCTGTTTCTCGGATTTTTAATCATTAAAAGCTAATATATCGTCTGCAAGCTGCACACAGGGGGATATAAAGACAAGGGAACCCTCGTGCACTGTTGGTGGGATTGCAGATTGGTGCAGCCACTATGGAAATCAGTATGGAGGTATCTCAAAAAATTAAAAATAGAACTACCTTATGACTCAGCAATTCCACTCTTAAGTATCTATCCAGAGAAACCCAAAACACTAATTATGCTAAGTGAAGTAAGTCAGTCAGAGGAAGACAAATACCATATGATCTCACTTATATGTGGAGTATAAAGAACTGAATAAATGAGCAAAGTAAACAGAAATAGTCTCAGAGACAGAGAGAGATAACTGATGGTTGCTAGATGGGAGGGGGGCGGGGATGAGAAAAGGAGAAGGGACTAAAAAACATAAATAGGTAACTACAATATAGCCACAGGGATATGAAAGACAGTTTGGGGAATATAATCAATAAAGTTTTAAAGGTTTTGTAGGGTGTCATATGGGCACTTGTCGTCTTATGGAGACCACTTCATGGGCAGTGTAGATGCCTGACCACTGTGCTGTACACCTGAAGCTGAATAATATTGAATGTCAACTATAATTTTATATATATAATATATATATATATATATATAATATATATATATATATATATATATATGGTCACGGGATGTGGAGTACAGCATAGGGAATAGAGTCAATGGAATTGTAACAGCTATATACGATGACAGGGGTAGTAGATTGGGGGTGGGCTATCACTTTATGAGGGGTGTAAATGTCTATTACATTGTTTTGTACACCTGAAACAATAATATAATAATAATAATAATAATAATAAAGCTAATATACACTTACCAGACTGTGGGTTTCTTCTTCCTTTTTGAATCTAATCACATTTTGAGTGTGCCAGAAAGATAGAACAATAAACAAATATCACATGACACACTTAGCCAACCATTCATAACTCCACACTCCCTGCAGAGTAATTGGAGAAGAAAGACATGGGAACAAAAAAAACCCTATTAAGCAAAGGGTGTGTGGCAAGCTTTTTACACAGAGACCACGGCCTGTTTTCAGAAGCCAAGCTGCATAAAAACAGTTTTAAAAGAGACAGACACTTGTAGGAGAGTCCTTCTTAGCTATTCTCCTGGACAAAAAGAAACCGGTGAATCAAAGGTGCTTCTCAGTTCCTCACTCTTATTTTCCTGACCGTAAGTGAAATTTGTTTTTATCTTCCACTTTGCATAAAGTAATTAAGGCATAAAGTATACAGCCACTGCCAAACACCTTTATTGACATTGTTAAAATTCTTATATTCTGATATTTCTAAATTATTGTATGTTTTATATTATAGTCCTAATGAGTGATTTAATTTTTTAAACTTGATTTATTTTTTATGTTAGTGAGGTAGCAATATGGGAGATAGACTCAGAAGTGTGTTTAAACATTATTAATTTTTGGAGGTCAGATTTACACTTCTCTGGATTTTGCAAGTCAAATTACTCTAGTCATATTAACTAACATGTTTTTGGTTTTCATCTGTATGTATCTTACATACTTACTTCATAAAAGGGGACCATGAATTTAATGAGGAGAAATTAGCTCTTTGGGGTGCAAAGAACCACAATAATGTTACGCAACTTTCCTTTTCTCAGTGGTTACCTAGATATTAAATAATCATGTTGAAAGTGTGCCATTCAAAGTACAGACTGCTTGTGGGCAAATCTCTGACTTAATAAAAAACTGGAGATGGTTTTTTATTCCTGTTAATGCTTTTTTTTGTAACTAAATAAGGGGCAAAGTTTTTTTTTCTTATTCTAATCATTACATCTTATTCATTGATTAGATTGCTGTAATATTAATATTTGGCAGAAAAAGTGATTTTTGAGACAGGAGGGGAAAGGCTTCCCACACCATCACCCTCATTTCTCTCATAGCCAGAAGAGTGTGGGAGGCAATACTAGCAGGCAGGATGTTTTACATTCATTAATACTTTATACTCTTAAAAAAACCCAAAAAACCAAAAAACTGTTGAATGTGTTACTACAGTGTCAAATAAGCATTAAATTCGTGCATCCTAAACTATGTTTTCAAAGTGTTCAGAAGCTTTTTTGTAACTGGACTTTTTTTGGTCTTTTTCTCTCCTAGTTACTACTGTACAATATTTACCCTCTCTTTCAATGAACAGGACAAAATGACTAAAAAAGAGATCAGTGTGTTACGACAAACTCAGGCCCTTCTGTACAAGAATTTTCTGAAAAAATGGAGAACGAAAAGAGAGAGCTTATTGGTATGGTTCACAACATATATTTTTCCGTATTTAGTGAATGAAAATCTATCATTTCGTATTATTCTATCGTTATTGTTTTTGTGTTCACAAATTCTGTGGGCTAGTTGTTTTGGAGTTCTAATAATATTTTGCAAATATTGCAGAGTAGAATAATATTTATGGCACAGGGTGAAATTAACTAAAGGACTCAACATGACAGCTCCTGGAAAACAAAGTAACATTTTAGTGAGTAGAACTAGCCATTTTCCAAGTAATCCACTTGAATCTTGTGGGGCCATTCTGATTTACCTTGGGCCAGCTTTGGTGTTAGGGGACAAAAAAAGAAAAAGAAATAAGCTAGACAAAATCAAGTAGGTTTTTAAATGAGTAAACCATAGCACTCTACTGAGGACATTTGGATTAAGATTCTGTTAATTGGCAGTGCTGGGGAAAGAAATCTATGAGCAAAAATTAGGGAACATTTTGGGTTTATTTTCAAGGCTCTGCTTTTTGTAAACATACAGTGTTTCATGGAGCCAGATCACTGATTGTCAGTATATTTGCATTCTGTTGTTTCTAGTATAAGGACATGGATGTTAGGATGAAGAGATTTGCTGTATGTTACCCTGAGATATATCTAGCGTTGCCTTGGCCACGCAGAGACTGCATTCTGTTTAAAAATAGCAAATAACATTTTGGTGGGAACTAGCAGAGTTCACATTTTTTTTCACTCTCTGCAAGAGCTCTTAAAGCAATTCAATTCTAATATTTTAATTTTTACGTTGATGAAGGGTACATTTATAGAGACAACCCACTAGAATTAATACAAAACTTGTTATTTTAAACCTCAAAATGTAGAAATATTGATCCATGAACCCACATCCTATCCTATTCACCTGTAATCCAAATTTGACAACTGTTAACATCTTGCCATCTTTGCTTCATTTCTCTATGTTTCCTCTTCCCCTCTTCGATGATACATGACACTTGACTGCTAAGTACTTCGGGTAGCCCTTACAAAAATTAACAGCATCTTCTCCTACGTAACCACTAATACACTTCACATAGTTAGCAGTAATTGTACATAATCATCTAATTCCATGTCGAAATTCAATTTCCTAAATTTTCCCCCAGAATGTCTTTTACAGTTTTGTTCAAACTAGGAACCAGAGAGACAAAAGCAGCTATCTTGTTCGGTATACATGTTCTGTATTTTGCTGATTCCTAATTCATGCTGTCGTTTAACTCATTCCTTTATCACCTATATTTCTGGTAAACAGAAAGTTAGATCTAAAAATGTGATAAACTTCAAGTTAAACATTTTTGGCAAGAATAGCTCATGTTATGCTATGAACTTATTATATTACATCACATGTAAGGTCGTATAATCAATAGTGGCCCTACTATTAGGGGTGCTGTATTCCCGGGTTCAGATCAGTGGACGCATTTGATATTATATCAGAGTTGTGTATTTTTGAAATGGTGTTTTTGTTAAAGGATAGATAGTAATTGGGAAAAGAAAAAATTGGAGAGTGAAATAAAGCCACACTCAATGCCAGTGCTTTCTGTCTTCAAATGTGTTTGAATGTTTCTCACTGTCCTGGATCACGCTGTAACTCAACCCATTTTTCTTTTGTGTTCTGGAGGAATGGACAATAGCATTGCTTCTGGGGCTATTTTTGTGCATCTTTTCTGGACTCTTCAGAGCGACCCATTTCCCTGAGCAGCCTCCTCAAGTCCTGGGACGCGTGGATAAATTTAATGACTCCGATCTGGTGGTGGCATATACCCCAGTCACTAACATGACACAGAGGATAATGGATAAGATGGCTTTGGCTTCTTTTATGAAAGGTTGGTTGTCCAATGACCAGTGTTTTCTTATTATGCAACCTACACATGTTGAATTTGAAGTTTGTTTTGCAAATTGAGTTTATTCACCCAGCCTATGGGTCAATGGTTCTCTCCTGGGGTAAAGATCCTCATTCTGTTTGCAGTGCAGGGGTTGGTGCAGAGCTATAGGTAAGGGTATATGGGTGAGAAGTGAAAGAGATTTCATCGAGGGCTTTTTAAACAGCACGCACACCTTTCACCCTCTCATCCTTCAAGTGCATGCTGTGGTGGGTGAGCCGTTACAGTCGTGAGCATGGTGTATACTCCATCAAGTAAAGGTGGAGTAGGAAAATAGGTTGGACCCTCTTCTAAATGATTTCACTTTTTATTGCTGGTGCTTTTCCCATTTTGTGATTCTTCATGGCAGCTTTTGGAGCTCGGACTCCTGCCTCCCTACCTGTGCTGGCCTTGTGCTCTGCCTGACCAGCATTGATTCTACCCTGATCTGGCTCTCCAGGCTTTCTCCATGTGGCCACTCACCTCAGCTCTTTTGAACTCAGGAAGCATATACAAAAGCCTCAGGGACTACTCTCCCTGCCTGCACAGTGCAAGCTATTTGCTGCTTTCAGCCTTCATGGCTCATTGGAGCCTGTCCTTTTCTTATATAAACACCCATTCCAGCTACTATGCCAGCCTGTCCTACCCAGTCACAGCTCCTCTCTCACCATCTCATTCCATGTTCTTCTGACTCTTGCTGCTCAGCACGTGTATTCACGTTCTGACCTTGACGGGACTTGTATACCTTTAGAGAAAAGCACTGAAATTAGCATTGCCTTCTAAAAAAATTCACAGCCTTCCTCTATGTTTAGAAGGATAAGTAGTTTTGAAAGACATGGCCACACTATAAAAATGAACACCTTCTTCTTCTTCATGTAGCTCTCACCCTGAGTGAGATTAAAACACTGTGTTCAAATTAATAAAAACTTAAGAATACATGAAAGTACAAGAAAGCATTAAAAAAAGGAGTCCGTAAGTTGGACTTCAGAGGTTTCCAAGGCTTCCATTAGAAAAAGATTTATTAACCACCTATTGGTTGGATTACTTCTGCAGATTGTAAACTCATCCATAATGTAGGCTATGACTTCAAAGATTCTATAGGTGGGCTGTAGCTTCTGATATTATTCCCTGAATGTCCTTTTTTGTTTGTTTAAAAATTTTTTTGAAAAAGATTCAGTTACTATTGACATACAATATTATATTAGTTTCAGGTATACAACATAGTGATTAGACATTTATATACCTTATGAAGTGATTACCCCAATAAGTACCCATCTGACACTGTATATAGTTGTTATAATATTATTGACTATATTCCCTGTGCTGTACTTCGCATCCCCATGCCTGTTTTTATAACTGCAATTTGTACATCTTAATTCCTTAATCTTTTTCACCCTTCCTCCAACCTCTCTGCCATCTGGCAACCATCAGTTTGTTCTCTGTATCTGTGAGTTTGTTTTGTTTGTTCGTTTATTTTGTTTTTCAGATTCCACATATAAGTGAAATCATATGGTATTTGTCTGTCTCTGACTTATTTCACTTAGCATAATACCCTCTAAGTCTATCTACTTCTGATTTTTGTACTCTGATTCTTTGCTTGCAGTTTACTTCTACCGGCATACTATTTTCATGTGATAGAAATCAGTCTATAATCTTGGCAGGAAACCCCCTCACCCCAAAGTTCTCAGTTATTTCTGTTGATTATTTTTTTTTAAAGATTTTTATTGGGGAATTGGGGGAAGGGGAACAGACAAGTTGCTGTCGTTTTGTTCTTCAGTCTAGTTGTGGAGGACGCTGCTTCACTGGCCCAAGTTGGCACCATCATTGTGCTCTTCCCGGGTGAGGCACATTAGTCGCTGGCTTCTGGACGACCGCTCACTGTGGCTGCTGGCCGCTCACGCTGGCTGCCGGCTACACACGGCAGCCCATGGCAACCCACTGCCACAGGGGCTGCAGCCTATGCCGTCCCGGTGACTCACGGCAACCCAGCTCCAGGTTGAGCTGTTGTTCAGCATCTTAGCTGTGGAGGGCAGTGTTCACTGGCCCTCATTTGTGGGATCTGAACCGGGGCCCTCTGGTATCCCAAGCCAGTTCTTAACCATCGCGCCACTTGGCCGGCCCTGTTGATTATTTTAAATATTTAATCACCAAGGTAATAGCTACCCTAAAAACGGAACTGAGCAATACAAACTTGTATGAAGCAAAATTATGAAAGTGTTTCCATTCATTCAGTCACTACTTCCTCCCCTACCATACCTCCCATTAAAATGTGTTTGTATCTTTTTAGGATAATATGTACACACACATACACATGGTCACCTATATATTGATATTAATGCTTGTAAATGTGTACATAGGCACACACATTCAGTTTTTTCTCTATTAAAATGAAATCACATTAAAAATAACTACAGTTTGGTTTTTAAAAAACAATATTATCATTCACATCTTTTCACATATTTACATGGAACCTAAGACAGTAGAAAGGACTTCAGCCTCTAACTTAGAGGCACCTATTTAAGGATAGTCTGTACCATCAATAATTTTATGGAAAACGTAAACAATTGCAACTTGGTTTTGTAATAAATTTATGTGATTATTTATATTTTTTATATGTGGCAGGAAGGACAATCACAGGGACTCCTGATGAAGAAACCATGGATACGGTACTTCTAAAAAGAGACTCTGACATGGTGGGAGTTGTGTTTAGTGACACTTTTTCATATAGGCTGAAGTTTAATAGGGAACATAGAATCGAAATTATAAAAGAACACTTTCAATACTCAGGTAAATATATAAGAATTGATTCTGATCTTTTTTGCTACATCATCAAATCCCCAGTTGGGAATGACTGTTAGAAAAATTGATAAAATCACAAAAAGAAGTAATGTATTTTTTATTCCTGAGCTTGATCAACCTTTATTATAGGATGAGTCTCCTTATTTTGGCAGCCATTCAGTAATCTTCTTCCTTCTTCCAGCTTTGCAGAGTGCTGTAAAAGTACTCTAGGTTGTGTAATCATGGTCTCTGAGCAGACATTTAGATATTTTACTTCAGAACCAAAGTTAAGGTTTTAATTCCATTAAGTGATTGCATTGCATGATGATGGGCATGTTTTTTTTTTTCCTTAAAGAACACTGTTGGACTTTTCGAGAAGAAGTTTTTTGTGCCTTGACAACATACTGGCAGAAAGGATTTGTGGCTTTTCAAGCTGCAATTAATGCTGCGATTATAGAAGTAAGTGCCTGACTTCAGAGATCTATTTTAAAGCTTCTATAATTTTCCCCCTGTCTTCCAGTCTCTCCTCATCCTCCACCTTGCCCCTACACTCTTTGGAGATGATCCCTTGCCTCTGCTCAGACAAAATGGACGCTGTCAGATGGGGTTATCCCCCAACTTCCCAACACAATCCCTGTAAAACTCTGGACCTACTTAACTCACTACACCCATCCTTTCCCGTCTGCCTCATCCCTAACGTCCGTCCTCAGTTCATAGTCTGGATCCCATCCCTTCCAATATGACTGGGAAGCTGCACAATGGATTTTTCCTTGTGTTTTCTCCTTCTTCAACATCCCCCTTTCAACTAGATTCTTTTCTTCAGGATATAAAGTTATTAATTTCTTCCCTTCTCATCAAGAACTCCCCTCACCCATATGTCCTCCTCAAGTCCTCTAGCTCCCTTCCCCGAACAGCTAAGCTTCTTGAAAGGGTTGTCTTCACTTAGGCCCAGTTCAACTCAATATAACTTCTGTTCCCAGCACACCTCCAAACCGGCTTTCTCTATGGTCAGTAGCAACTCCCATTCACAACCGACCTTTTCATTCCTTGTCTTACTTGATCTTTTAACCATATAGCATTTACCTGGGTTTCCTTCACTTTTCTAGTCATTCCTTCCCAGTCGTCTTGCCCGCTTACCCAACTTTATATTCCTACTTCTTTAAATCTGGACTTCCACAAAGCTCTATCCTAGGCGTCTTCCTCCATCCTGTATACTTTTTCTAGACATATCATTCATTTCCATAACTTTAATTACAATTTAATGCTGATAACCCCAAAAACTTACTTCAACTTGTAGACCAGCCAAGTTTTTCTGTAAAGGGCTAGATAGTGAATATTTTAGGCTCTGGGGGCCAAGCTGTCTTCATTGCAACTATTCAACTCTGCAGTTGTACTGTGAAAGCCAGCCATTAGACAATATATAAACAAATGAGTGTGGCTGTGTCCCGTTAAAACTATTATAAAAACAGGTGGTGGACCAGATTTGGTCTGTGGGCCATAGTTTGCTGACCTGTGCTCTACTCCTATGTACCTGATGGTTTACTGGCTATCTCTACTTTGATTTCTCCTAAGCAATTCAAAGTAGTATGTTTGTGGGTGTTTTTCCCTAAATGTGACTGAGTTAAAAATATTTTTTGTCTGTTAGTAAATGCTAAAGCCTCCCACCTACTGAACCAAATAGAAACTGGGGAATCATCAGAGATCATTTTCTTTGCCTCACCCATTGCACCCAATCGCTTATCTGGCTCTGTTAATTCTAAGCTCAAATCTATGTACTTTATTTCAACATGACCACCAGCATTAGTCCAAGCCATTATCGTCTCTAGCCTGAACTATGGGAGTGGTTTATTTTCCAGCCTCATTCTCTCATTCTCTTTCTCTCTCCCTCTCGCTATCATCTCTATTTCTAGTATCTTTTTGCTGCAGGGACCCCTTTTTTGTGCCTCCAGTGTACTCTGCTCCTTTTTCCTTTGCACTTGCTCTCTACTCTGCTGAGAATCTTCTTCTCCATTCTCAACTCGCCCACGTAATCTTTGTTTGAGTATGATCACAGAAATGATCATTTCTTCAGGGAAGCCTTCCCTATTTTTGCTCTTCTTCCAGTCTCTACTTCTCCTTTAATGCAGTTGCTCAATTATAATTAAACAGCTGATTGTGCAACGCATTGTTTAATGTCTCTCCTTCCTTCTCCATCTCCATCACAAAGTGTAAAATTCCGTGAAAGTGAGAAGTGTTTGTTTGGGTTGCCCCTCTCTCCCCATCACCTGTCACAGTATATTGTGCATGATAGACTCCCAGGAATTTCTCACGTGACTCCTAATTAATGTCAATTAATTCCAAAGGTCATCAAGATCATCATGATGAAATTAATAGTTCACCATATTTTAAAATAATGGAAATATGTAAATACCAAAAATGAAAAGAAACAAAGGTATATAGTTTTCTAATAGATTTTTCTGGTATAGTTAATATCATACATTTTTTTGTTAACATCCCAATGTAGATCACAACAAATCATTCTGTGATGGAGGAGCTGACATCAGTTATTGGAATAAATATGAGGATACCACATTTCATTTCTAATGAAGAAACTGTAAATGAATGGGTTATTTTTATTAGTATAGTTTCTTTCTCCCCTTTTATATACTTTGCATCATTAAATGTTACAAAAGAAAGAAAAAAATTTAAGAAACTGATGATGGTGATGGGCCTCCGAGAGGCAACATTCTGGTAAGTTAAGTTTACTTGTTCATCACATATTCATAAATAGAGAAACTCATTAGATTATAAGAGAAATTAGATGTATTCACAAGTTTTTCTTGCATTTATTCAATTTAATTAGCTTACCTGTATTCAGTGTTAAGATGCTGGCAGTAAGAAAATAAGTAAGGATTGTGCTTATAGTTCCCTGAATTGTAGGAAAAAAATATGATACCTGTATCAGTTAGCTATTGCCAGAAAAATGCTGCATAAAAAATACTCCAAAACCAGGTGACCTCAAACAACAATTATTCTTTCTCATTTATCTGTGGCATTGGGTGGAGTTTGGCAGAGGTAGTCTGATCTTGGCTGGGCTTGGATCCAAGTTGCAGGTTGCAGCCATGTCTGTTCCATGAGCCTCTCATCCTTCTTGGGTCAGCAGGCTCTTTGGGCATGTTCTTCTCTTTCAGTCACAGAAGTGCGAGAGGGCAAATCTCAGGGCACAAGCACATCTCAAGCTCCTGCTCTGATAACATTTCATTGGTTAAAGCAAGTCATGTGGACAAAGTCCAAGGGCAAAGATGTATTTTCTGCCCATAATGAAGTTAAAAAATTCAAATAGCCAAGCCTATTGAGATCAGTGATGTGGAGAATTATATTCCCTTCATGGAAGTGAAAGGAGGCGAAGGGAGTGAAAAATTTGAACAGTAAGCCAATTTACCACAGTGTTATTGATGCCTATTCATGTAGTTAGTCAATCCAGATGTTCTTTGGGTGGAATTGAGGATTAAATGAGACAATGTGTTTAAACTATGTAGCACAGACAATGCCCAATCCTGGCAAGGCGCATTATGAAATGAAATCAACCTCTTCTCTCCACTCTCTCTTTCTCTCTCCGTTATCTCTATCCATTAACCTGTTGTCCTTTTTCCCATAGACTTTGAGATAGTACACAATAATAATAGTAATAATAGTGAACATTGAACTTACTGTATTCCAGGGATGACTCACAGCTCATAGGGCTGTTATCCCCATTTAATGGTAAAAAAAACCAAGGCACAGAAAAGTTATTTGCCCAAGAAAAACTCAGTCTTTTTAGCCACGGTGCTACATAACTTGCAAATATTAATGAGATGAAATTAGTGATAAGGGGATAGTTTCCCCTTGATAGAAAAATATGTGGGTTAAATGTGTCGACAGAAATGCATACCATATTGTCATGTTTTTGAGATAAGCATTACATTTGGATCCAAACTTCTGAGTGCCCCAAATTGAGTAACAACACAGAAGAAAGTTCCCCTGATACAGCACTGTCTGAGGTAGGTAGCAGGTTTTGCAATGACTAGAGATTTTTTTTAATTAGTTGATGTTGCATCAGTTTTGGGGGAGACTGTTTTGTAAATATGCTCTTTACTCCACTTTCTTTTCAAAGTCAAGGAAAAGGAATTTTAAAAATGAAATAATATGCATAAAAAGTATAACTTTGACAATTTAACTTCTGAGAGAACCCTATTACCAGATGTAGGCATCCCAGGGATTGAAGTAAAACTGATATATTTCTTATAAAGTCCCCACATGCTTGTATATTTTACCCTTTTCCACTTTCTTCCTGATCAGGCACAAATTTTGTTATAATCTGTTTAACCCAAATAAGGCTCAAGAATGCAGAATTCCTAAAGAATCTTGAGAGCAATTTTTTTTACATAAAACATTGTGAATAGATCATGAAAATTTTTTATAGTCATTCCTTTCCAACTGCACATTTCTTTTATATGAAATTCTAGTAATTTCAGGTCTATGAACCATAATTAACCTTATAATTGAAAGAATTTAATTTAAATATGCATGGACTACGATTAGCTCCTATTGGGGCTATTTTTTTTTTGAGTGTGGAATAGAGAGAAAAAAAAATGATTAAAACCAGAATTTTTTGCCTGTTTTTTTTTCCTTTATAAGTTTTCAAGATAATTGTTTCCCTAACATCCTCCATAGATGACTGGCTCTTTAAATACCATTATAAACTCATGGATCTTGACATGTCTAATAGATTTCAATTCACAATCCACTGTAATTATTATTCTTATTGAAACTCAGATTGCCCCATCTTTGGCTAAAGGAAGCCACTTCAGGTTGGTTTCTAATTCCTTTTGACAAGATTCTAAGTGGGTTATTATTATTATTATTAATATTATTAATTTGGATAGGTTCCTTGCTATTTTTTTATGACAAGATGCTCTAGTTTCTTTTAGTTGGAAAAAGTATTTCAAAACCATTATATGCTAGAAATAGTCTTGGTATTGGATTGGGCATTGTTTCTAGCCTTTTTTTAGCAGATATAGAATAATATATAGTCTATATTTTATGTGTATAATAACATACACACATTAAAGATAAATCTCTTATGTGTTTATGCTGATACTTACAATTCAAATATAGTACTATAGGGCTTTTATCTAACCGCTCCCACAGTATAACCATATCTCTTTTCTTACACACTAAGAATTTTCATTCTCTAGGAGAGATACAGAGAATGTTAGAGTTAGAATATGCCTAATTATTTATTTGTTTTATCCAGAAATACATATACAACAGTCAACAATAGTAATAGTATTACTTCAATATAATATCTGAAAGTGGTTAAAATACTTTTTTCCTTGTGCTTTCCCCAATGCCCCCAGTTTTTAATAGTTGCACTGTTCCTACACTGACAGAGTACATACCATTTTTTCTCCTTTTTTAACTTAGTTCTACAAGTAACTACAATTTTTTTCATTAAACATTTTTATTTTGAATAGGTTCATACTTTTAGTTGTGAGAAATAATTGGAGAGATCCCGTGTTTACCCAGTTCCCCCCAATGATAGATAACATGTTGAGAAGCTCTTGCATGCTCTCACACCACATTACTGACACTGATACAGTGAAGACAGCAGTTCTGTCACCGCATTCAATGCTCTTCCCTATTTCCCTAGCCCCTGGTAGCCACTAATCTGTTCACCACTTCTGTAATTCTGACATTTCAGAAACGCTATATAACTGCAGTCATACAGTCCGTAACCTTTTGGGGTTGGTTTCTTCCACTAGCACAGTTCCCAGAAATTTCATCCAAGTTGTGTCTATCAGCACTTTGCTCCTTTTTACTGCTGAGTACTAGTCCATGGTATGGATACACCTCAGTTTGTTTAACAATTCCATCTTTGAAGGAGAGATGAGTTGTTTGTAGATTTTAGTGATTACAAATAAAGCTGCTATGAACATTCATCTCTAGGTATTTATATGAACGTAAATCTTTATTTCTTTGGGATAAATGCCCAACAGTATGTTTACTGGACTGTATGGTGGTTTAGTTTTATAAGAAACTGCCCAACTGTTTTCCAGTGGGCATATAATTTTATATTCCCATCAGCAATGTATAAATGACAAAAGCATGGATTATAGAAAATAATTGTATTTGACTTGGTTGATGCTTTTATACTTGCATTGGAATTTACATATGCCTGATGTTCTTATTCATTGAACATAAAAGTTGTACTTTTTTTTTTCATTTCCTTTCTTCTTAATTCATCTTAATATGCCATGTTCTCCTTACCTCTATCTATGGCCAGCTCTTTGAAAACATATGTTTAATTATTAGGAGCTGATATCTTTCATAGATGAAAGATAATTCAGCTGATTATCTTCAAAAATCAACTTATTAAGATTGTTAGGTATTTGAATTTGTAAAAGGTTTTTAAAATTCCAAATTAAGTAATGAAAGCATGAGAGAGGAAAACTGTGATCGCTCAAGTTTACTCTTAGTACTCATGAAAATACTGTGTACTTGTAGTAGTAATAACAACTTACATTTAGGAACTACTCAAGAGTATATAAAAGACTTTCAAGTGCATTATCCGTACTAAGTTTCACGCATATAATATGAAAGCCCCATGTAAATCCAGAGGGTACTTGGCAGTTTGTTAGCGTTTTTATGAAATGTTAAATTTTGAGCATGAGAGTCCTTTTCCTATTTAAAACATATATTTACATCTATTTCCACAGATTTTCAAAAGCAACCGTGTTTTTTTTTTTATTTAAAGATTTTATAGGAGAATTGGAGGAGGGAACAGCATTGGGGAATCGGGAGAAGGGGAACAGGCAAATTGCTGTCCTTTTGCTCTTCAGTCTAGTTGTGGAGGATGTTGCTTCACTGGCCCATGTTGGTATTGTGATCATTGTGCTCTTCCCGGCTGAGGCAGATCAGTTGTTGGCCATTGGACAGCCGCTCATGGCCACTCATGCTGGCTGCCGGCCATTTATGGTAGCTTACGGCCACTCACGGTAGCTTATGGCAGCCCGCTGCAGCCTACGCCATCACCGGCGACTCTCGGCAGCCCAGCTCCAGGTCGAGCTGTTGTTCACCATCTTAGCTGTAGAGGGCGCAGCGTCACTGGCCCATGTGGGATCTGAACCGGGGCCCTGCTGCTCAGAGCTCGCGCTCCCAAGCCAACTCTCAACCAATGAGCCACTCAGCTGGCCCCACAACCGTGTTTTTTGACTACTATGATATTGGATCACAGCCATATAACTATAATCCCTGTCGATTTTAGTTTTGTATTTTTTAGCATCATTGTTATATGTTGATTCTTAAAAAACAACATATTGAGTGGCTAATGTCAATAGCCATATAAGGATACAAAATGAAATAAGCTTTACTTAAAGAAAGATTTCAGTTAAACATTCAGAACAATGGTGTGTACCTTAAGGAAGTTTAGGGAATTTAGAGGTGACAGTATTATTTTTCCATTGACATTTATATAGTCACTTGACTGAAAGAATAAGGTTATATCTAATATTAATTTTAAAATGCATTCTTCATTTGGAAAGACGATCGTCATGATGGCTAAACTAAAGTCTCATGTGTATTATCTCAGTTAATCCTTTGAACAACCATGAGATAACCACCACGATTAACCGCATTTTATAGATGAAGGTGAGAAAGGATAACTTGACCATGATCATAGAGTGAGAATGTGCAGAGCCACAATTTTATAGTCTATTTGACCCTAGTATGTTTGCTTTCAGAACTTACATTCTTCACCATTTTGCATATTGTCTCTCCAAACATTTGCGTGTGTGTGATATTTTGAATTAACACCTTGTTTCTATCATAGGCTCTCCTGGGGATTGCTGTATGCTGGCCTCATTCTCATTGTGTCCATTTTTATGGCTCTGATCATAACATCTATCCAAATTGTAATAATCACTGGCTTCATGGTGATATTCACACTCTTTATCCTATATGGCCTCTCTTTGGTGAGTTGTCAAAACACGTATTTTTTAATCTGTTTCAGGTGTCAGATATACGAGCAAATAATGTTTCTTCAGGATATCGGTATGGTCTAGTTAGTAATTTTATATCCTGTTTTCCATATGCTTTGAGAAAGTTTTTGACAATGTGAGAAATTGATGAATATTGCTATTTATTGATGAATATTGCTATTTATTGATGAATATTGCTATTTATGATTCTCAAAGGAAAAAATACACAAGTTGTAACTCCTCTTTCTTCCTTCAGATAGCATTGACTTTCCTCCTGAGTGTGTTGATAAAGAAATCTGTCCTTACCGGTGTGGTGGGGTTTCTCTTCACTGTATTTTGGGGATGTCTGGGATTCACTGCCTTGTACAGACAACTCCCTTCATCATTGGAATGGATTTTAGGTCTTTTTAGCCCTTTCGCCTTCACTACTGGAATGATCCAGGTAAGAACACAATGAGTTCTTGATTTTACTTATAAGATTTTCAAAACCATTGAAGCGTTTAGTGCTCCGTGATATTTAATGACCAAAAAATCACTCTGTAGTTGAAGAAATTCTGCTGTTAAAAAGCTGAATAAACAAAAATGAAGCAGATAAATCATATGTAAAATTGTAGAAATTTTAAGAAAGAAAAATAATTGCCCATCATCTGACCACTCAGAAATACCTGGTTTCTGATCCTATTTAAAGGGGCAGTAAAATATGGAGGTTATAAGTAATGAGTGGGGGCTAGAAAGCATGAATCAGCCTCAGCTCTGCCGTTTACCAGCTGGGTGACCTTGAGCAAGTCACTTGACTTCTGTGGCCTCACTTTTTTCATCTGTAGAATAGGGATTTCAGTAGCACTCACTTCATGGGGGTAATTGTGAAGATGAACTGTGTTATTATATATGTATAACACTAGAACAGTGCCTGATATATGCTATGTGAATGTTAGCTATTATCTTTATTATCTTTCTATTTTCTATTTTTTTAAAATAATTTCTTCAAGTCTTTAATACTTATTTCATATTTTAATGTTTCTGCCATATCTTATACTTAGCATTTTTATATTTCCTATAAACGGCCTCCAATTTCACTCCTATTCTGTTTCTCTTCCCAGAATATTATTTTTGATGGCTTGTCCACTTCTCCAAATCCCCTTCTTTAAAATTTCTGTGATAATCAATTAGCTAGATGTCTATTTTTCAATTGTGTTGCTTTCTCATTTAGCATTTCTCACTTTTGTGACAATAATTTTATTTGTATAAAGCAACATGATGACTAATAACTTCACTGTGCAGTTTTGAAGAAAGGGATATTGAAATATGAATTATAGTTGTTTAGGCAGCACCATTTTTTATAACTTTAGTTTTATAGGTTCATCCAATTTTTATTTTGTTTTAAATCTCAGATTATACACCTGGAATATTACCTGAATGGTGTTGTTTTTCCTGATCCTTCTGGAGAGTCATACATAATGATAGTTACTTTCTTCATTTTGGCACTTGATACTCTTCTCTATTTGATATTAACATTATATTTTGAGCGAGTTCTGCCTGGTAAGTAATAGTGTGGTTAAAGTTTAATTTAAAGCAATTCTGTTTCTTAGGTAACGTCTTAATATTTGTAATTTAAGAAGCATTTCTGATTGCCTAGGAACGGAGCAAGTTTCGAAGCAATAGAATTTCCTCATTTTCATTTCACTCCTTAATGGTTTGAATGGAATTATTTAGTAAAAACATTTTAATTAAAAATAATTTATATTTGTTTTGGTTTTTATGTTTTATACAGGTAGTGTGTGTGTGTGTGTGTGTGTGTGTGTGTGTGTGTGTGTGTATTAGCTGAGGAGAGGGAAGGAAACACGTAAAGCAGCTATTGGATAATGATGTTTTTTAGGGCTTGAATTCAACTCACTGACAAGATAGTTAATTAAATAGTTCTTGCTAATATTTGGCTCTAGTAAACTTGTTCTTCTGAGTCTCAGGAATATGGAAAAGGAAACACAATATAAAGCTAACAGATGACCTCTTCTTTTCTCCCTTTTGTGTGGGAAGATCAGCCTAACAAGAAAGTTTTATACAGTGTTATAAAAATTAATAAACTCTACAAATGACTTTTAAATAACTATAATAAAATTCCTATGTACAATAGTATACACATATAATCTCAGGAAATAGTATACTTACATTTTATTTTACCCTAAAATCCACAGATTTTACTCATACATGATTCCTTTTTACATGTCAGAATCTAAATATTCCTATCTTTTTAAACCCTATTTATTGTGGTCTTTATCTGTTTTCTAATTCAGGCATTCAATTTAAAAAAATAATCATAGTTTTCCTCTAAATTTTGTTTCATGTACTTTACCTCTGTTATACTATTATTTTAGGTTTTTATCTCTATTCCTTTTATTGGTTCCATTAATACAGTTTTAAATAAATAATTTATTTTGCATTTAGCAAATTTCCTTCAAAATTATTTTGCAGAATTATTCTTGTGAATGAATGATTTCTCAAAATTAGATGAAATTTCTTTTTTGAACCCAAAAGTAGCATGTAATGTATGTAACCCGTATAAAACCAAGTTAATATGTGTCCTTGCTTCAGCATAGGTCACAGTCAAAGAATCAGACTCTAGTGTCTGAATAATTGAAAAAATTTACTGTTTTTGTCATTTCTCAAACCTGCAAAATGAAAATTAAATTCCCAGACCTTATCTTCTGGGTATACATTCACTCATTCACACACATGGCAATGGTCTTAAACACTTTCTTTTCTCTAAACCCTTAAAAGTGTTCCCCAGCTGAACTGGGGTTAGATTCTTCTCCATTTTCTCATCGTCTTCCTCCTTTTGAAATTTCTTATTTCCCTCTTTTGCCAAACAGTTATCACCCTTTGCAGTATAAATCAAATCAGTTTGTTTTTGGCCTCCAGGCCCAGAACCCTAGTATGAAAAATTAGAATTCTTTCAATAATAGTGAGTAGAGGAAATCATAAGTTTTTTAATACTCCAAAGTCAGTTTTTCCCTGTAACAACTCTATACCATATGACATATTTTTCCTTTCCTAAATTTTTGGTTTATTACATTAAAAATAATGTGTTCTCCAACACTTTCATCTACAATGTAATTTGTGCTATAATAGGTACATTTCCAATTTTTCTGAAGTCTTCCACTCATTCATAATTAGCTTGCTTTTCCAAATACTTTTCCCACCTACAGGAAAGGACAGTAAGTAATATTTAAATCTGAGAAAATGGAATTCAAATTTCTCCTTTCAATTTCTGTGTATTCATATAATCATACAATTTTACCAATCGGTATTTAGTTCAGCATTTCGTACAGGCGTCACATCTTAGAGAATCTGAAACAGCGGTCTGGAGAGATTATATATCTGGCCCAAGAACATCGCAGAATTTGGACTAAAATTTTGAATAAAACTGTGACCTAATGCTCTTTTTTCTTTTTACATAGAATTCAATATTTATTGCTTATTTCCCACCTTTTGTCTCTAGAATGTAAGTCTCCGTGAAGGAAGAGATGTTTGCTTTTTATTACACTGATAGCTTCAGGCATCTAGGAGAGTGGCATAGAGGAGGTACTCAATAAATTCCGGGTGAATTAAATAAATGCATATACTCATCTTCTTATTTAAACTTTCAGGATAAACATTGTATGTTTTCCATCTAAAGGCTACCTGGTACATAAGAGGCTCCCAATAAACATTTTCTGAAGGACTGCAAGAATGAACTCCTTTTCTTTTCTCAGTCTTAAACAATTCCTCCCCTCTTCCTCCTCTTCCTTTTTTCAGATCCATAAATTTAAGTCACTCTCACTTCCCTTTACTTGGGTACAATATGTATTCCGTAACCCAAAGTTTTATCAACATCTTTCAAATCAACATTTTTAGAGCAGGTAACATAAATGCTTTTACATTTGTAACTCTTATATTTTACATTTATAACCAGAACAAACCAAGAATTTCCCATGAAATGGATACTAATTAGATAGCAGTTTTCATCTACCTATTTAGCACATAACTGCTCATTGAAGTCAGTGTGGGTCCACAGTCTGCATCTTCAAGGCTTTCAGAGGTAGCTGTAGAAATGCTTATGGAGATTGGTATTTAAATGGAGTGTAGGAAGTGTAATAAAAGAGGTTGTCACAGGTTCTATGATAGGGTAAGTCCCTGAATTGGTGAGTCAGAAAAAGCTTGGAACTTCAACAGCATTTAAAGGATAAGCTTGCCTGGTAGACAAGAGTGCAAAAAAGATTTTGCAGTCAGCAGGAACAGCACGCAAGCTCAGCGATGGGGAACGGCATAGTGTAGGGGAAATGAAAAGTTGTTAGGTAGAGCTGGGCATTGTTGGTTGTGAGACGTCGTTCTAGTGTAGGACCTGGTAGCCCGCTGACAAGGGTTACAAGGGGAGATTTTTTTCCAAGTACATGTACCTACGCGCAGCTAAACACAGGACAATACAGCATGTAAAGGTCCTGATGATTCCGAGGCTCACCTCCAATCAGGTCCCTCTGTAGGTGCCTGGTCATGGTAACTTGACAGGTCACGTGTAGAATTTGGAATTCTATCTTCTAGGGCAGTTCAAGTATTATTGAAAATCCTTGACAAAGTGTTCACTTGTTTTTGTTGAAATGAGAAAAATAATGTGAAATTGATTAATTCTTTAATATGATGTCTTTTGTGAGATTATAGCCTTTCTACAGCTATAGTTTCATAGTGAAAATATCTTTTTTTTGCAATGATGGCCATAGCAGATAGTAAGGTTTTTGTTTGTTTGTTTGTTTTGTTTTTTTACTATCCTTAATTAACACAATATACTTATTTTTTAAAATATTATTTATCCAAGAAGTCCAAGAGCCTTAGAGTCACTGGTGAAGGAAATAGAGAAAGATTGAAATAGTTTATGTAGGACCTTCCACTGATGTGATTTGTGTTCTAGGAATATTACTCTGGAAGCTGTGTAAAGGATGAGTTCAAAGCAGGTGGACACTGTTATGATTATATTAGAGAGAGAGAGGGACCAAATTAAGGTGTCAATGTAATGTAGTGGGGAGGACAGATTCCAGAGACACTTATGTGACAGAAGCGATCTGATCTGGTGGTTAATTATATATTAAAGAAATGACAAACAGCGGGTGGAGATAAGGGTAGCCCTTATTTCTAGCGATACTGAGGTAAAGAAAATGCCTCTTAACCCTGATAGGAGATAACTTCAGTAGCAGCAAAATAGAAGTATGAAAAATTCCTGCAATCTTTGACATATTCTAAAAAATGCTACAATTTCTATGAATACGATGAATTTTCTCAATTCTAATTTTTCCACTTTTTAAAATATTTCCTTTGCTTTTTCACAGTGTAATTTCCCTATCTGGCTAGGTCAGCTCTAGATGTTTTTATCTGTTTTCATTTTTGAGCATTTACAGCTCTAAAACCACAACACACTATTATTTTAATTGCTCTTTTCAAGGACACTGAATTTCCAGTTATACCTTTCCTTTTCTTTCCCATACATTTTTCTACATGTCTCCAATATCTTTTGTTCTCATACTTCTAGAAGTTACATATTGTTGTATCTCTTTCTCTTCAACAATTCTTTTGCAGTGGCATTTTCACTTGTTTATCCCCTTATATTAGCGTTCAGCAACAGCTTACTTAAAAGAGTGTCGTTTCAATTTATTCTATAGTCTGAAAAATCTACTGCATTTCCTACTCCTCTCATTAGTAAATTCATGTTTTGTGGATATAGCTTGAAAATACTACTCATTTTATTTTCTTTGATTCTTTAGATCCACACCTGAAGTTTCTATTCTCCTTTCTTACCATTAAAATATAAGTCCACTTAAATGCCAAACAAATTGTATTTGATTATACATACAACACATTCAGCCTTGGAATAATATGAACTATCTCGTGATAAAATCCTTGTATAATTTCATGAAGTCATAAAAGATTAAAGGATTATTGGTGTATCTCTGTAGATGATTGAAAAAAACATCTACGTAAAATATAACAGACACGGCAGAAACATTTTGATTTGTGTTCCTTTCATTTTCCTCCTGGGATTTAAAATGTTCCTGTGTTTCTCACTTACGATATCTCAATTTTGTTTTTGTTTTTGTTTTTAGCTGAGCCATCCTGCCACCTGTTGGCAGCTCAGCGGCAGCTCAGCTTGGGCCAGGAATCAAACCGGGGCGACCCTGTTGCTCAGAGCTCACATTCTTGAGCGAGCTCTTAACCAACTGAGCCACTCGACCAGCCCACGATATCTCAATTTTAATTTTCTTCCTTTTCACACCCTTTTCCTAGATGCCAACAATTATTCAGCCTGAAGTCCACCTTTCTGTAATTAATAACTTAATTTTTCTACTTTTGTTTTATTCTTAGGGCTTTGAAAAAGGTTGACTGTTGATTTATAGTGACTCATATACTCCTTTCAATATTCATTTTTTCTGGATTATCAAAATAATATTTCTTCATATACTATTGCAGAACTCAGCATATACAGTTTCTCTTTTTAAGCATCCTAATGTCTGGAAATCCTGAGAGTGAGCAAGTTCTTGATGTTTGATATGATTTCCTAGAGCTAAACTTTATCTTCTTTGTTAAGCTGTTTTATTTTTATAAAGCAGAGATGAAAATTTATCAAGCCAAACTCTGTCTTCACTTCAATATCCCTGCAATACTTCACTTTTCACATTATAAATATAAATTCCCAACATAATAACTTAAATTCAAAATTGATATCAAGCCACACTAGGACAGAAGTCATTCTTTACTGATGTCGTATGGTTGATTCAATATGTAATTGTGTCTTGATTGATTAGATGGAGATGGCCATGGGTATTCACCATTGTTTTTCCTAAAGTCTTCATTTTGGTCCCAACATCGAAATGCTCATCATGAGGACTTTGAGACTGAAATAAATCCCGAGCATTCTCCAGATGACTCTTTTGAACCAGTATCTTCAGAGTTCCATGGGAAAGAAGCCATAAGGTAACTAACAAACGATGTGACTATGTACGCTGAGCGGCAACAGCTTAAGAAAGGAAGCTCCAGCAAAGGCAACCACAGGTCAGATGTTACAGATGATGCGTTTTTGAAAGCTCCTTTCACGAAGGAGCTTTCAAAAGCTCCTGCATTTTTCTCATTCATTTCTGCAAACAGAACGATTTAATAATATCTGGAGAGGGGTGCAGGACTGACGGAAAGCCTCGCTCTCTTTTTCCCTTCCTGGGTCCTTCTTTCAATTGTAGTTTTCCCTCCATTTGCTAACTTAGAGAAATGACTAGACTATATAAAATGCCAAGGTTGATAAAAGTATAAGCAGGTCTGTGCAAATCTCTTCTGGGGGTGGTGTGGGTTTTCACGACTCCTCTCCTCACATCCCATTAAGGCGGGGGGGTCCCTTAATGGGGTTTAGGTTGTGAAGTTTAGGTTCAATCACACACTGGATGTTTGGCAGTTAACGTAATCTCTTCTGTTAGAAAATGTATTTACCTCATAGTTGCTTAATCTTCTTTCAGAATCAGAAATGTTAAAAAAGAATATAATGGAAAGCATGAAAAAGTAGAAGCGTTGAAAGGTAAAGGAAAACCTTCATTGTTTTGATGATGTTTTTAATTAAATGTTTTTTTGTTTCTTGAAAATACAAAAAGTCATAGGGGAAAATTAGAGACTGAATATAGATTTAAAAAAGCACATACTTCTATTATGAAGGATAGTCACCAGTAATATATTATCTTTTTCTATGTATGTATGTATAAAATATTTTTAAAAAATAGGATTGTACTGTTTATACTGGTTGATAATCTTTAACCTGAATTTGTCAAACGGAGTTGGGAGTATCACTGGCATTGTTTTCACTTTCATAGAACTTCATTACCTGTTTTGGGTTGTGGTTTGCCTTATTATTTGTTCTCTGACAATATAATTCCATGTTTTCTTTCTTTGAGAATCTCTTAAAATTTCTGGGGTGCTAATAGAATTTTTTGTTGTTTTCCAATGGAATTAGATAATTTTTCTAATTTAAAGAAAAAATTATCGATTTCTAAGCACACACGTATAAAAATACCTGTGACGTGTCCTGGATCCCTACAGACCTCTCTAGAGACCACACCCACACTTTTGTGACAACAGTGACCAGTGCCGGGGACACTTTACTGTCCTCTCCTTAACCCATCCCCCCTTCCTCCTAACACGGAGTAAATTCACCTCAGTCTCTGTACCTAGCATTTCTGTCTCCAGCTCTGGGAGCACCTGGGATATTATTTCTTAAATCACACTGCCTTCCTTTGCCCAACAAGCAAATACGCTGTTACTGTGCTTTAATCCTTGGTAGCTTTTGCTCAATTATTTAATAGTAAATATATATATTCTTTGACATTCAAAGGTTTTGGGGTAGAAAGGAGGGTAGAGTTTTACAGTCCCAGTCTTGATCCAGTTTCTCCGGATAACTTGATGCTTTGTCTTCATAAACAGACACAACTAAATATATAGTTTTATAGGGGACGTATTAGAATATCAGTAAAACGAAATGCTGAGTTACATTTCACTCTTCTAAGTTTTTAAAAGTCAGTTTGATCTGAATATAGTCCAAAGTCTAATTTTCACATTTTATTCTAAAACAGGCATATTTCTTGACATATATGAAGGACAAATCACTGCAATACTTGGACATAGTGGAGCTGGTAAATCAACACTGCTGAACATTCTTAGTGGGTTGTCTGTTTCCACGGAAGGTAAGAAAATAACTTTGCAAAGCTAGTTGGCTAATAAAGCAGGTTCCTCAGTCTGATTATGTAGAAGAAAACTGTTTCTCTAAAGCAGGTTTTTTACACAATTGAGTCATTTAGAGCAGGAAATATATATTTTATATTTATATAAATTCATGAGAAGGCTTATATTTCATTCCACTATTCCACTATTCATTCCACTATTATTGGTCATTTCACGTATACTTTTGCTGTGGACACTCATATTTCCATTAAGAATAATTGGAATTTCTAAATGTATTATATAATTACAAAATGTGAAGATTCTTTAGCTAGTATCCTATATTATCACTCTGCATAGAGTTACTATCCTGTTGTTAAATTTTCTAAAATTTCTATTTATAGGATCAGCCACTATTTATAATTCCACACTCTCTGAAATAGCTAACATGGAGGAAATCAGAAAGAACATTGGATTTTGTCCGCAACTCAATATTCAATTTGAATTTCTTACTGTGAGAGACAACCTCAGGCTATTTGCTAAAATAAAAGGGATTCAGCCAAAGGAAGTGGAAACAGAGGTAGGTGAAGATATTAGAATTGATGGCTTTGGAAATAATTTACTTAATTTGTTCCCGACCACATTTTTGTTTAATTGTTACTTTACTTTCTCATAAGTAAAGCTTAATCAATGAAGTTCTAGAATAAATTTCTTCACATTCGTTAGGGAGCTTAAAGTAAAACATTTTGTATTAATGGGGTTTTTTTTTTGGTAGGTAAAAAGAGTTATAATGGAATTAGACATACAAAACATTCAAGATGTCGTTGCTAAAAAATTAAGCGGTGGACAGAAGAGAATACTAACATTCGGGATTGCCATTTTAGGAGATCCTCAGGTGAGAGAAAAAATGTTTTTTGAGATTAATTTGGATTGAAGAATATAAAATTATTACAGTCCAAACTCTACCAAATATGAGAGAATTTGTAATAAAAGGTCATGTAAGTCTATTAGGGATATGGGGGAGGATTGTATATGAACCTAGAAATCATATTGGTTTCCATGCTACTTTCTGAAGATCCTTTCTGAACAAGTGGAAGATGTTTTTATGTATTTCCTCCTCCGTAGGTTTTGCTACTGGATGAACCAACTGCAGGATTGGATCCTTTTTCAAGGCACCAAGTTTGGAACCTCCTGAGGGAGCGTAAAAAAAACCACGTGATCCTTTTTAGTACCCAGTTCATGGATGAGGCTGATGTCTTGGCTGGTGAGTCTTGATCTCTTTATGCTAATTAATTATTTAAGGCTTTAACCTAAGAGATGATCTCTATTTTTAAAAGAAGAGAATCTTGTTTGCAATCTGAGTGACTGTGTTCTAGGGATGCACTTTGCCCCAAAGGAATTCTGATCTCCCAGTGAGTTCTTAGAGCCATGCTTTCTGTATCTTCTAGTCTGTAATTTTTTT